ATTTAGGGCTTGTGGGGGGAGGGGGCGTGGTCCGGGCTCGAGCCAAACGCATAGAACCTCTATCCGCAGGCCGGGCTGCCCTCTCGCGGCTTGCGCCATTCCCTAGAGTCGCCTAGAGCTCTGGACAACTTATTTTGGCAGAAAGTTGCCTCGAAGATCACACCCGGAAAACAAAAGAAGTACAGACCGCCGAGGAGCCGATGGCGGGTCCTTGCGCCAGACAATAGGCCACCCCGGCCAGCCCGGGCCACATGGTGCGCTTTCGGGCTGAAGGTCGGCTCGGGTAGGGCTGCACTTTTGGCGCGGACTGAAATATTTCTGCCAAGATAAGTTGTCCAGACCTCTACTAGCCCTCACGCCGTGACAGGTGCCCGCCAAAGAACTCGTGACGGTCACAGGGAGCAGTATGCGGGGCGGGTCCACAATGTGGTCACGACCCAGGGTCGAGCAAGACAGACACGCAGACATCGAATGTTCAAATTATAAGCCGGCTCCCTCTGCTAAGGGCGCTGGCTCAGCGCCCAGCGCAGCGGCCCGCCGTCTCACCTGCTGCCCCGCTTCTCCCCTCCCAGCGCGCCCCCGCGTCCAGCCTCGAGCACAGCGGCAACGGAGATGCTAAGGCCAGCCACCCTACGTTCCTTAGTATTGGCTCTAGCTTTGAAACTATTTGTGGTAGGTGGACGGGGTGAGTGTAAAAATGTTCGAAAAGGAACGGGGAATAAAGCCCCAACCAAAATTAGTCGAGCGCAAAATGTATTCCTAATAAAGCATTCCAGTAAAGCTGATATGCAGAAGAATGCCTTCACTCCCACTCCTCCTCGCCGACATCAGTTCACATGAATTTGAATCACCTGATAACGCACTTTTATCTGGACTACCCAAACCGGGCCAGTCACACGGGTCCAAGATTGGGGAGGGGGGGGGGGGGCAGTTGGTTGCACCTGTTATACCCGGCTGCGCTCGATAACTGACCGTTTTAGGTCCGAACCCTCGGCTCGACCATTGCTGGACCCTATGCTCCACCCGTGCCTGGCCAGACGGGCCAACGTGCCGACGAGCGTCCGGCTTACAGGAGCAGCGCAGCGCGCGGACACTTATAGAGCGGCGTCGCGACAGGTGTAACGATCGGGCGGGCGCCAGCGGCGATTAAAATCGTTCCCGTTTTGGAAATTTAAACCCGTTGTACACCAACAACATCAGGTGGAAATGGATTGTTTACATGTGAGTATGTCGAGGATGTAAGTGTGTGTGTGTGTGTGTGTGTGTGTGTGGCGTGCTGGCCCTCCAACTCGTCCCAGCCTCGTCCCCGCACTCGCGCCTGCTCGATGCTGTGAAAGATAATTGCCAGACCATGAAATTCTTAGAAAATGTCCTCGCCCCCTCCCCGCGCTTGCCCCC